AAAAAATTGATAGCTATAAGAAAAGTCATATATTTAAAACTAAAATTAAGTCATATATTAAAGAATATTGCACAGTTTTCTTTGCTCTCTTCCTGTTTATTCCACTTGTCACATTTGCCTATTCTATGAGGATTATATAGAGAAGCGTTTCAGAAGAGTATATAAGGTCTCTTCCCAAGTGTTAGTTTGCTTAATTAATCGAATTGTTTTGGAGAACTGAGAACCCCGTCTCCCTTATTTGGAAAAGTGGCTCGATTCTGTTGCCCATAGCTTAAGCCATTGTTCAACCATTTTCCAGTGATTTTGAGGGCGGGGAGAAAAATGAGAGAACATGTGGCATTTCATCAGATGGATCCATATACGGCAGGGAAGTAAATGACTAAGCAGCTTGCATTAGTTCTCTTGTCATTGAATTGGGAGGACCAAAATCAATAATAAAACGCAGAACAAAGCAATTACTAGTAGTTATCTAGCATGAAATGATGATCAGTACGAGGGACTTGTTGCTCTGTTTGCCATTTTATCAGAAATGATATGTTCCAAAAGGGCATCTGATAAGCTGTTACGTTGATGATGTGGTTCCCTTTCATGGGTTTAGACTTTAGAGTTTTGGCAGCTCTACGAGGGTTAATGACTGTCACATATTCACATTTTACAATGTTGGCACGGAGCCTGCCGTGCCCAGGAAACTGAGGAATTTGTGAATTGCGTCAAATTCCTCTGCTCTAAAAGAGATTCTTGTTCATCATACTTTTTTTTGGAAAAAAAAATTATTTTATACAATTAAACACATATATACACAAACACGTTATCGCTGGACTCGAATTTAGGACCTCGTCCAAGTGTAACGAATAGCCTTAGCACTATAACAATTTGCCATTGATTCATGTTGATCATACTTGAGCCAGTATATTTGAGGCCTTCATTGTCTCCTTTATATCATAGATAGATTTTGTAAGAGGTATATTTTGGTCTACTTCAAAACGTTGACCAAAACAATTACTAGTGGTTATTAACTAGTATAAAAAGATCAGGTCCGCAGATTCTTGGCGTGGCTTCACTGGTTTCATCTTCTGGAAATATGCTTTCTTGTTGGAGGTTGCTATTTCATCAGAAGTGCTAACAAAAGTTGGATTTTGTTTTAATTTGATCGGGGGAATAATTGTGCATTATTTACTTATTATAGGTAATTTTACTAAAAAAATTATTAAAAAAGGTTTTTTCTTTTAATTCCAAGCAGAAAATCTGCCCCACCCCTTTTATCATAGCATTCATATATGTAGTGATTAAATTAAAATATGTTCATATTAAAATTTTATATATTTTTACTTCCTTTCGTATTTAATATTAATCAATAATCATATTCTATAAGAGTTTCTTGATTTTATATATAAATCAGTTTAGGAAATATCTGTTACATTAATTATTTCTTTAAGTCCTTGGTTTATAATTAAAAAATTATTGTAGTAGTAGGATTTAACGTAATTAATATATAAAAATTGAGGTGTTTGGTGCCAAATGCAAACCAAAGTTTTGTCAAAAATTGTGGTGTTTGGATTTTTGGGCCAAACCATGGCTTGAAGCCCAAAAACACTTTTCATCAGTTTGCCAAACACCCAAAAAAAGTTAAGGCGATGGAAACCTACTTCCTTTCTCGTTTGGTGCAAGATAAAATTTTTAAAAGATGGGAAACATTTTATTAAACAAATCCCAACGATTAGCATAATGTACCACAAGTCAACACACCAGCAGAAAAGAAACACCGTGACATGCATAACATGCAATCCTTTTCAAATCCCAGGAAGAGATAGAAAAGAGGCGCAGATCGAAGAGAGACCAATTACTTCAATCTCAAAGTCGCTTTTTGGTGGACATTTTAGGGCTCTTGCCAGATAACACTCCTAAACCTCGCAGGATAGCTAACACTCCTAAACCCATGACAGGGCCGTACAATGACAATAGCTTAGCAGATGCCCTTCCAGAACCCACCATTTCTGATAGCAGAGCAACCTGAAACACAGTTTGCAAGAACAATTAGAAAATGAGAACACATACAGAAAAACCAGAGATCTTGCACACAGATGCGTGAACACTAAAAAGCTGCTACTCATACCATTGCAGAAGACAAAGCAACACCGTAGATCAAGCAAGTGGTTTTGAGCCAGGGTTTGGCAGTCAAAATGGCGTAAAGATTGAGAAGAATGAGTGGCACTTCAAAGGTGAACTCATACCAAACGAGTCCAACATAGAAATAGGGCTGGTCTACCATCAGATAGTGATCATACTCGCGGATGTACCAGTTCTTGAGCTGGACGAGGAAATGAGGGTAGAGAGCTTGAGGGAGAAGGAGCTGAGAGTATATAAGTACACATGCCAGCGCTATTATGAGCATGTAAGAGAACAGAATGACGTCAACCACTTTAACTGCAGAACCCATTTTCCAAATGCCCCTCTCACAAAGCTTGTCCCTCTTTCCCTCAGCTTTCTCAGAAAACAGAAGGCGTCCCCTTTCTCTAAGACTCGGGCTTTATGTTAGATATAGAGATCAAGTAGAGTAAGGAGTTCGGTCATCTGAGATCATACATCTGCTGTTTACTCGTCTTTCAACCTATAGCTTGATAGTGAATTTCCCACCTAACTCTAAGCTTGACCTGCAGATATTTGACGTGCAGAAATTCCACACCTGCAGAATTTAGTATTATTTGTTGTGAATTCCCACATATAGAATTGTTAATTTTTTACTATCTGATGCAACTTTTTATATGTGGAGTTGTTAATTTTCTGTTATTTATTGTGAAAAGTTATTAATTTGCTATTATTTGTTGTAAACTCTTAAATGTGGAGTTGTTAATATAGCATTATTTGTTGTGAATTTCCATATGTGGAGTTGTTAATTTCTATTATTTGTTATGAATTCCCATATGTGATTTTTTTTTTTTTTTCTATCATTTGATGTGAATTTCCGTACATGGAGTTGTTAATGTTTTATTATTTGTTTTAAAATTTCATATTTCCGGTTGTTATTTTTCAATTATTTGTTGTAAATTACCATATATAGAGTTGTTAATTTTTTTTTATTTATTATTTGTTGCAAATTTTTACGCGTGGAGTTGTTAGTTTTTTATTATTTGTTATAAATTTTTATATTTTTAATTGTAATTTTCCCATTATTTATTGTAAATTGTCGAGCGTGTAAAACAAACCCCAATCAACCCCTTCCTTCTCGTTCAAATTTTGATAGGCAACATGATCCTTTTACTTTCAAACATAATTTCATTTTGGGGTAGGGAGACTGAAAACAAATTTTAGAATATCTTGAGACTCATTAGAAATTAAGTCCACATTGTGGGACTTAAATGAAATTTTCCCAAAAAAAAAAAAAAATACTGCAGGAGATGAATGAAACCAGTGAAGCCACACCACAAAATCCGTGTAATCCAGTCCTAAACATAAGACCCTCGGAGGAGTAATAAATAACTACCACTGATTCCTTTGGTCAGCGTTTTCAAGTAGACCAAAAATCTGTCTCTGATCTAAAACAGGCAATGACGGCCTCAAATCTACTAGCTCAACTATGATGAGGAGGAATACCTTTTAGGACAGAAATTTGACACTATGATTGATTGCATTCATACCTGCAAATTCTGTTGCACAGATTCGATCCCGAAAGCCATCTCAAGCTCGCTTTTTCCTGGGCACCGCAGGCCTCTTGCCAACACTGGAATATGTCCCAGTGGAATGTGACAGTAACCCTCGTAGGGTTGCTAAGACTCCAAAAGCCATGAAAGGGCAGTACAATATCAGTAGCTTAGCGGATGCCCTTCCGGAACCCACCATGTCTGATAATATAACAACCTGAAATCAAAACATGAAATCACAGAATAAACAGGTCTTCTTGTACGCATACGTACCCACCCTTTGAAGAACAGCTAATTAATTATACATACCATGGAAGTAGACAGAGAGACGCCGTAGATCAGGCAAGTGGTGTTTAACCAGGGCTTGGAAGTCAAAATGGCGTAAAGATTGAGAAGAACAAGAGGCCATTGGAAGATGAGCTCGAAGCAGACGAGTCCGACGAAGAAAGGGGGCTTGTCTATGACGAGATAGTCGCCGTACTCGCGGGAGTACCAGTTTTTGAGTTGGACAAGGAAGCCTGGGTAGTAAGTGTGAGGTATGAAGGTTTGAGCATCTAGAAGTGGAGCTGCCAGAGCTATTACCAGCAAGAATAGGAAGATAACGGCGTCTATCACTTTTACCGCAAAACCCATTTCCCGGGAAAAGAAGGCCGTTCTATTCTCCGGCCACTCTTTGTATTGTTTTGGTAGAATGCAGATTCTGAACGGAACATTGGGGGTTCCAGAGGGGAAAGTGTGGCCGAACACGTGGCCTTGCATGATAGGAGCTATGACTCATCGTGGCTTCAGTGGCACTATTCGATTGGGAGATAGAAAATAGAAAGAGAGTCCCTCTCTCCTCCGTGATGTGGGCCAGATCATTGATTCAAGTGATTTTGCCAAACGATCTGCTGTGGGCCTCTGGAGGCCCGTAACTTGTGAAGGAGCTTTAAATCGTTGTTAGGCTGATTCCACTTTTTATTTTTTGTCTGTCTTTTTTATTTCTGGAGAAAGCAAAACAAGAGCTCGGCCAATCGACCGGCCCCGTTATTTTGTCTGCGGGCAACCGAATGACTGTGGAACGGAAAAAGAATTAAAGAAGTGAATGAGAGGATTGATTTTATGAATGTGAAATAGCTTTTATGCTTCTTAATATTCTTATCCTATATTAAATTTTGCTCACTAGTTGCCAACTCTTCTATAACTTGAGAATGGAATTGAGAAGATGAAGTTGATAGAATTATGTATAAGGCTGCTTTTTCATTCTATCAGATTCTGTTTTTCCCTCCGAATTTCTAACACAATCTTTTAAGGAAAAATTAAAAAAAACGTAAAAATTGCAAAATCACAAATTAAGACCTGTCACAAAACTTGTATAGGTTTTAAAATTTTTTACAAAATACCTAATTTGCAAATTCACAATTGTCAGTTTTTTTTTTCTTTTGTGATTTTTCCATCTTTTAACTCGAGTTGTGAGGGTATCTAAATGTGTCTCAATCTTTTTAGATCACACTTAAATATACAGACTTGAATGGAGGAGGTTGCTGCTATCTAAGGGTGTGTTTGGATGAAACCAAACCGTGGTTTGAAAAAGTGATTCTGGAGAATAGATTTTGGGGAAAATAGATTCTGTGAAGAACAAATTTTATAAAAAAGTGATTCTGAGAAGTGAGAGTGTTTGGATAGTTGTTATCAAAAGCACTTTTTATATATACAAATTACTAAAAAAAAGACATAAGTTAATATGATAATTACATAAAAAATAGATCTTATGATATATTTTAATTTGAAGGAATAAAATTGTTAATAACATATTTTTTACCAACATAATTAATAATACATAAGATAATATAATTAATAAATAATTAATGTGTATATATATTTATAAAATATAAGATTAAATATATTTATAAAAAAATATGTTTATAAAAAAAAATAACAAGATACATATCATATAGGCCCTCATACTCTCCCTTTTTTCTCCAAAAGCAAAACAATTTTGCTTTTTCCAAAATCATGGTTTGAGGTGTCATCCAAACACACCCTAACTGCACTTTGATATTCTACTCTCGCTTTCGAATAACATTTTTGCATCGTGTTCTTAAATCTTACTTTCGTTCTCTCATATCATCTACACACACTCTCTCTTGTTTTCACAATTTAACATAAATTACTTTGAAATTAAAAACCCTTTCGTGGCGCCAGCTTCTGGCCAGTTGCTTCATTAACAACTCAACAGTAGTACATATCAAGTGATCTGAGATCAGAATAATTATTTGCCTTTACACAGAGATTGTCCTCCGCTTTTAGCTTAGACAACCGATATTTATCTATCCATGTCCAGGGTCCATATATTTTCTCCTCTCTGAATCGTCGAGAATTTTTAATTTTTTGCACTGCTCGTGACTTTGCGGGATATTACAGTGAAGATTTCTGCAGAGCCATATGCCTGTTTGCAATAAGGATTGTGCAGGGACGGATGCATTCAGAAACAGAATTTGTAAATGGATGCTTTCTTGTGGTCCATAAATGTCAACTTCTGCTAACATGAAGATAAACTCTCAGACACTTGATGAGACCAATGAAGTTCCAAAACACACATTGCCATTCTTCATGTTTAGTTAGTCCAGATTCTGCATTAGCAGTTGTTTCTCGGTGATATTAGATTTTGCGAAGAAAACTGTGTGAGCCTGTGATGATTTTATTTTATTTGATTGATTCCCTAACCGGGCAGTGAAAGTTGAGTAATGGACAAAAGTGATGATGGGGTTAACTTGCCTTATTTCTGGTCTACTTCACGGAAAACTAAACAACTCGAATGCCGCGAGAGAGATGCGTGGGCTTCTCGTGGCCGGTTGGCTTTGACGACTTGAGCAGAAAATACATACAGATTGAACCACATTTGTACGTACAGACTAGAAATCTATGATGGGCTCACCAACAGTTAGATTTCGTTCCAGTGTCCATGGCAGGTCGAACAGTTTGGCTGTGATGAACTTGAAGATCTTGTTCACGTTGATGTTGTAGGCAGCGCTGGAAAAGAAGAGTGTTGCGTTCATGGCCTTTGCGTATCTTCTTGCCTGTACAATTAAAAATAACATCATCACTTCTTGCTTTGGACTTTGCAGATTCTTTATTGTCTAAGTGCGGCATTAAGACCAGAAGTAGCGTATTTTCCAAGCATGATCTTTAAGAAAGTGATAAAAGCAATCAAAATGGATAGAGTTTATCTCAATCTTCTTCTTTTTTATCCACATGCACACCATGTGTAACACAGCTCATCCAGATTCCTTTCTTCATTCAAGTCTCTCTCTCATGAATTGACAAGATCTACATTCTCGATTAAAACCTCCAACAGCACGGCATGATTCTGTAGGTTTCTAAGAATTGGTCCGCGGGACAAGAATATATACCGTCCTAGAAACTTTTGGAAGATGGATCGGCTGTGAGTTTGTTGATGTTGAAAAGATGAAGTTACATCATAATTTTTCTTTAAAAAATGATTAAATTATAATATCATTAGAAATACATATAAAAAAATTTAGGTATCTTGAAAGATAACCAAAGTGCGGAAAACTATTTCTCGTTGTAGTGCCCAAAAAATGAAATATGTACCTCACTGGCGATGGTCCATTGCAAATCTATGGGAAGTTGAATGAAATCATCAAACTTGGTTCCTATCATCACTGGAATTGCAGTCTACAAAAGCAAACACATACCATTAAAATAAACTAATAAGAGTTCTTCAACCATGTATACTTCCAACTGAATCAACACTTGATGTCTCATATACTTTACCTGATTCCATTTCCTGGCTTCTTTGTACCACCCAATCACACTGTTCCAGACAAGGAATCATATTGAAACAATTTCAGCCTAAAAAATGAGGTGCACGAAGCACGATTGATAATCATGAATTAATCAAATTTTCAAAGAACTAAGGTACCTGTTTAACGTACAACGGCTTGTTAGATCAAACATGTACAAGATTGCCACGGAGTCCTTACAAGCCAATGGAATCTGGTCCTGTGACCTTCCACCACCTACATGAGTATCAATTAAGAACAATATTTCAGTGATTCGTTTTTGTTTTTCTCACGATTTATGCCAAAAATTACCAGTTACCAGAGTTTTTGCTTTTCTCTACCTTCTACTTCCCAGATACAATACGATATACGTGCCCCTTCCACGACTAAAGTTTTGTCCCTCTGATTCAATCCCTTCTTCGCCTGGCTTCCCTGTTCATGTTCACTCCCTGTGTATTTCACCTTCAAACAACAGCAAAATAGAAATTAATTACAAAAACAATGAATTGGAGGTTCGTACTCTCAAATTTTGTTTGTTAATAAAGAGACTGACCAGAAAACTGGTCTTTCCTATTTGGCAGTCCCCCAGGAGGCTGATCTTGAGAGCAACCAAATCGGAGTCCGAATCAGGCGTGGAAATTGAGATAGCGAGCCCTGCCCCGATTCGTCATGAATAACCCCGCCGGCGGAAGGAGGCTCGGCAAAATGTGGGAGCATGAGATACTTGGAAGGCTTCCCTCCGGAACAGAGGAAGAAGTGCTGGAGAAGGCGGAGAATGCGTCGCCGGAGACCGGAAATGCGGTGTTCAACCCGATCAGTAAGGGTGACACGGGAGATTTTCCGGCAAACCTTAGCCATAATTTTGATTTTTTTTTTCTTTCAAGGGATGATGGCCTCAAGCTCAGGTGAGAAAAAAAAGCTTTTCTTCGAGCCTGTTTTCGGCCATAGGAAAAAGTAAAGCCGAGCTTGTGACGCTATGATATGCTGAAAACGTGGGGTAGTTTGGGGATTTCAGGATCCCACCCCTACCAACTATATTAAAATTTGAAATTGAAATGATTTCAGTTACAACGACTTTTTTTAGTTTTTGCCATCAAAGTCACTAACTTTAACGGGAAACGACTGACCGGAAAATTCGACAAGCCTCCGAATATCAGATTTGCGTGCCTCACTAAAACCAGGGGATGCTTCCTGTTTCACAACCCACCATGCACATTCCCTTTCTGTTCAATAAAAATCCTCGCCATAAAAATATACTACCCAGTCTAGTTTCCATTAAATATAGACTATACATGCCTATAATAATAACAACAGCAATAATACTAATTCTGATTCTAATTATAAAATCTTATTTATAGACTGTAAACACAGTCTTATAATTAAGAGTAGAGGTAATAAAACTTATCTCATGAGATAGGATTGGTTATATGAATTAAAAAATCTTACTACTACATAAGACCTCATTTCATTTTTATTTTTGTGTTAAATATAAAATTCTAATCCATTTTGACTTTCACATTTATATATTTTTTTTTAAGATAGTCATTCTAAAAATAGTAGTTATAGCCATAATACACTTGATTAGTAAGAATATTTTAAAAAAGACAACACATATTTATTATAAATAACTAACTTAACTTTTTTTAATTTACTTAAATTAGTCAACTAACTCTTATATATAGGATTAGAGCAGTACATCCAATCCTAAATATAAAACATTATTTATAGACTAAAAACGATGTCTTATATTTATGATCAGAGGTAGTCCTTTGCTCTATCAATAACCAATTTTTTATATAAATTATTAATTAAAATATTTTCCTCAAAATTTTATTGAATATTTTCATCGATTTCCGTCAAATTTTTGGAAATGTTTGAAAACATAAAAAAAAAAAATTTTAAAAATTTTATTAAGAAGGTGAAGACAAACCCCTACTTATTTTGAAATTCTTAAAGTTATTTTTAAAAAATTAATCCAAATAAAAGATTTCATACTGCTTGATTTAGCTGCTCATGAATGGCATTCTTTGAATATATTTTAA